TAATTTTTTTTCTATTTTCCATCAATTAAAACTTGTATTGTAATTTTTATTTTTCATTTTTAATTTTTTATTTTTATGTTTAATTGTTACCAATTAAAACCTGCATTTTAATTGATACAACCTGATGTCAGAGAGCCCGAAATCCAGGCCAGTTATAGGCTAATTTTGCAGGAATAAAGAGGTTTGGGATGGGGAGGTACCCACGTGATGAGCTGAGCGTTGTCATTCCCCTTCCTCTGGAGCAGTTCCGAGCGGCGCCACTTGGCGAAGGCGTCCAGGGTGATCCCGGCGTTCCTGCTCAGCGGCCGCTTGTCCCCGTCCGTCCACACCTCCAGCCCGATCAGAGCCACGTGGATGTTCAGGGCCTTGTAAACCTGCCCAGAGACTCCGTCAAAAACAACTCACACCTGGCAAAGACTCGGAACCAAACCCTCGGAACCAAACCCTCGGAACCAAACCCTCGGAACCAAACCCTCACCCCTTCCCTCACTCGCGGCTTCATCCACCTGAACCTTTTCCACCCGCAGAACCCCCACGATCCAACCGTGAAATCACATTCAAATCCACTTTAAAAATGGCTCGAAAATGCTTGGAAATTCCAGTGATTTTGGAAGAAGTCTGGCTTGCAAAAGAAATCAAGGATCAGTTCATTCTTAGTGCCATGGTCTAATAACCATGGTTGGGTTGGATCAAGGGTTGGACTTGATGATCTCAGAGGTCCCTTCCAACCCAGCTGATTCTATGATTCCATGATTCCATGATTCTTTTTTTTCAGTCATTCACTTTAACAAGTGGTAAGAAAGTTCAGCATAAATCTTCCTTAACAAAAATCTCATGTCCGAAGGCAAAGAACGGGACAATATGGACACAAGTGTTAAATTTCCTTCTTGAATTACAAAGCATTTGAGTTTTCATTCATTACTACGTAAAATAATGAACATTTGTGTTGTTTGCAATAGAAAAAACTCAGATTTCGATGTCATTGCTTTGTTCCTACCGTGTTGATGAAGTTGACGATTCCAAACACCCTCTCTCTGATGGCTTTGACATCTTTATCAAAGTTCTGGTACTAAAATGTAAATACAGAACGTCAGGAAAAGGAGAGAGGGGAAAAGGGATTGATCAGAAAATCAATTGTGCTGCAAACCACTCCATGCCCGGGCTACCTGATGAGAAATTCTCTTTTTGATGTAGTATTTTAACAAATAATGTGTTTCAAGACGTGTATTAAAGTGCAGGGTGCAGAGAAGAGCTTGGACTCCATGATCCTTGTGTGGGTCCTTTAATTTTAATAAAAATTAAAATGCAAGTTTTAATTGAGAAAAATGAAAAACAAAAATAACAATTAAAAATAAAAATTAAAATTAAAATGCAAGTTTTAATTGGGAAAAATTAAAAAATAAAAACAAAAAATTAAAAATAAAAATTAAAATGCGAGTTTTAATTGATAAAAATGAAAAATAAAAAAATATTAAAATTAAAATGCAAGTTTTAATTGGTAAAAATTTTTTAGGCACTTTAAGGGGTTTTCCTAATTCTCTTCATCTCCAGGTGGGATTTTAAAAATAAACCCATTTTAGGACACCCTTTTCCCACCCAAGGTCAGCAGTTGGAAAAGCAGGAGCCCAGGGATACAAGCAACACCTATCCTGGGAAAATAACAATTCCAATACTCACCAGAGTGTGGTCTGCAACTATGTAGAGCTCCAGGTATTTTTTGGCTTTCAGATACTCTTTCATCTAAAGAAATAATAGATTAAAATGACCTGCTTTAGCCTCAGTCTTTGCAACTTCAAACTTATCTATGAACTCTTGGAGGTGTTTTTTTGGCCAAGTCATTTTAGAGTGGGACTGTCACGTTTTTAAAAGACGAGAAGCAGGTTAGATATTAAAATTATTAAGATTATGAAGGGTCTGCTGGATATTTAATAAGTATTTAGGTGTGTAAAGGTGCACCGGTTGGTAAAGGCAGAGGGGTTTAACTCAGGGGGTGACTCTGAAATCTCAGATCTGGAAGATTTTTGTGCTGATTCTTTAAAATCTGACACAATGAACAGCCAAAGTGGGATTTGGGCTGGTTGGGCTCCTCAAATTCAAGTTTTTAACCCATTTTTCTGTGTTTAACCCCATCCTCACCTCTGGGCTGTTGCTGGATTTGAAGATGTCGTTGATGGGGTCGTCAGAATCCTGTTCCCAGGAGTTGTTGGCGAGGCCACAGGTTTTGATGGGCTCTTGTTTCAGTGCCTCGTATTTATAAACGGCGTGTTCTGCTCCCTCCGAGCCTCCCAGGGGCTCAATCAGGTACCTCTGGCCACGGGTCTCAAAATAACCACTGAAAAAATGAGCTGGACTGTGATTTTTTTTGAATCAAGAGAGCAACAGAGCGTTTATCCCATGCATGTGCACCCTTGGAATGTTCTGGCAGCCTTCAGCCAACGTAAATTTAAATCAGGAATTAAAGCTGATTTAAAGAATTAAAGATTTGGGTGGTCAGTGAAGTCTCTGAGGAGGAGACTGGCAGTGACAAGAATCTGGTGTAGGAATTAATTTGATTTAAATTGTCGGGGTTTGTGCTAACAGAGGGGGTTGAAAAGTGATATTTGGTTCAGTGAGGAATTCAAAGGTGACAAGAAAAGCTGAATATTGTGAGGAACTGAGGAACTATTCCCCACCTTCTTTCCCTGCTTCTTTAGCAAAGTGGTTTCCTTGTCAGCAGGAATAAAAGATCACATGATTATTTCCATCCTGATTCTTTTTATATGGAAAATTTATCCCAGAACATTGATATTGTGCCTTTGGGAAGCAAAGCTGCCCTTACTTGAGCCCTTGGCAGGTGCTGATGCTCACTGTGGACTCAGCATCATCCTGAACGTGGCCTTCATAAAAACAGTGATCCTGTTGGGAAGAGAAAAATCCAGTGTCACATTGATCCAACTGGCCTGGATCCAGTGATTTCAAAAGACAAACTGCAATAAACTGCCCTGGCTGAAACCTCCCATTAGGAGGGTCTTTAAATGAATTTAAAAAAAATTATTCCCTAACCGTTATTTTTATCCTTCAACATGGAGTGACCCAAATTGTGACCAACCAATGGTGGTGGGAGCTGGTCAGCACACAAGAGCACATAAAAATAGGAATATGGACACACACTGCTCCAAATTAAGCACAGGTTGCTGAATTCAAGTCCACACCAAATGGTTTTATTGCAGCCAAATTTCGAGGCAACACTGTTTAATAACCCAGCAATTAAATCAGTGAGATTAAAATGCCTGTATTCTGTTAAATATATGATTGAGGGAAAGAGTTTTGTGGCTTAATTGGCTTAAGGATCTCAGGTTTACATTTCTGTGTTCAAAGAGACTTCGAAGTCACTGAGGGACTGTGGAAAATGTTATCCATAACATTTTCCTGAATGGATTTCTTAAGAACACGGCCCCAAACCTTCCTGCCTCATGCCTTTGGTTTGCTCCTGGATCTTTGGGGTCACTTTTACCATTTATTTGTCTTCCTTCCACCACAAGGTGCCAAGTTTCTTACAGGGATAAAGAGATCCAACAAAGGGAAAATCACTGGGGGAAAGGGGAGGATTTATCTCCATCCCAGGAGGATTTAAGAGAAAAATAGGAATTCCCTATTCAGCACAGACAGGCTTGATTGAGTTTGTCTTTATCCATGTTTAGGTGATGTTTGCTTTCCCCAGGATCTATTTAGGCAGTGAAAATCATTGGAGTTTGTCTTTATCCATGTTGAGGTGATGTTTGCTTTTCCCAGGATCTATTTGGGCAGTGAAAATCATTGGAGCAACGAGAAATGGCTTTTTTTTCCCCCCCCAAAAAAAAAACCCCAACCCAGAATTCTTTCACTCAAGATCCTCCTGTTCCTGCTAACAAAGAAAACGAGGCTTTGGATTCCAAATCCTGGGTGTTAAAACACCTGGAATGAGCTGGGACAAGGAGCTTCAGGCAGAAGATCAGCCCAAGGAGGGCAGAGTTAATTCCCGAGGAGTGCAGAGTTAATTAAAAACTGCTTTCTGTGGTGACTCCCTTCGTGTCTGGGTGGAAGAACTGATTTGTCACGGCCCAGAGAAAGCACCTGGAGTGACCTGAGTGCATCTGCTGAGCGTGGGTGGGAAGGTGAGCCCGGAGGAAATGGGGTTTCTCCCAACCTCTGATCTCACCGGGAACGGGGTGGGAACCAGGAGCAGGGTCAGGAGGGCAAAAGGAGAGGTTGGGAGCAGTGGGATGGCCCTGGATCCACTCCCTGTCCTGCCAGGAGGGAGAGGTTTGACTCACAGGCTGGTCAGCAGCACTGAGGGGAGAGGTGGGGTCTTATTGTGGGGCTGATTCCCCACGGGAACAAACCGGGCTCAGCTCTGCCCAAGCCATGAGTCCCTTCTTCCCAGAATATTCCCAGTTGGAAGGGACCCACCAGGATCATCGAGTCCAACTCTTCACTGAATGGCCCAAATCACCCAGAAAAACACCACCAGGGTATTAATGATCTCCTCCCTCTTCCCTGAACCCAAGAACACAATAAATCTGTGTTTCTTCCCTGTCCCTTCAGACACATCCTAAATTACAGGCTTAGGAGCTTGATTTAAAATCTTTCCTTTCTGTCTTACATCTCCTGTTATTTCACAGCCTCAGGAATCTCATATGGACCTCAGGACTGTAAATATATGGGGAAAAAGCCTTCCTTCATTACCTTGATCCGAGGAGTTGTTGTTATTTCCTGACCGTCATCCGAATAAACAGTTTCGGTGTAATCTCCACCTAAAAGGTCCCTGCAAAGAGCCAAGTGCGGTTCTTACTCCAAAGAAATCGTAGCCAGGTAGAAATGAGGTGATTACACAACACACCAAGCATGTGGGGAATTCAAACAATTACTCAGGTTATTATTAGTATCGAAAAAACTCAGCGAGCAGAGCTGCGGGGTGGGGAATCCTCCCTGTTCCCGGTCCTTCCTCAAACAAAGGGACACTTCTCAAGGAGAAGAAGGCAATTAAAGTCTGCTTATTTCATTGCTCTAAAGTAATCTCCCAGAAGATCTGAATGCAAATGTATAATTACATATTGATCCTTTTTTTTTGGCCTTTTGTGCATCTGACTAAAATCAGCAGCAAAGCAAATCTGCATCACTTCTGTTTGGGCAACTGCCCCAAACTGCCACAGTCCCACTTTCTCTTCAAAGGAAGGGATTTATTACAGTATATTTTCCCTCTCCCCACTCCAAATATTTAGATTAGATTAAAACAGGGGCAAGCAGTTAATTACAGTCTATATTTAACATGAATTCATTATGGTACTGTTGTATTTACACAGCCTTTTGAAAAGTGCTTATTAATGCAGACTTGTCTGATTGCGTGTTCAATATTCTGGTGGGGCCAGAAAATCCCAGCTGGGCTTTATTCTGTGCAATTTTGGGCTTCTCCTTGTGTGCCAAACCCCCTACCCCTCTGTGGGGCCTCTTTCCATGCCTGCTCCTGCAGCCAAGGAAGAGAATTTTCCCAATTTTCCACTTCCAGGAAGCACTTTATCAATACCAGGATATATTAGATTCCTCCAAGTCCAACAGCAGTAGTGTTAAGGTAAATATCTCTCTCTATCTATCTGATATAGATATATTTAAATATGGAAGCATAGAATGGAAAATACCTCCAGAATCAACAAATCTATCCCAGAATCCCAGAGTGGTTTGGGTTGGAAGGGACCTTAATGATCAATTAATTCCAGGGACACCTTCCACTAGCCCAGGTTGCTCCAACCTGGCCTTGGACACTTCCAGGGATCCAGGGGCAGCCACAGCTTCTCTGGGAATTCCATCCCAGCTCCTCCCCACCCTCCCAGGCAGGAATTCCTTCCCAATATCTGATTTAAACCTGCTCTCCCTCAATTTAAAACCACTCCCCCTTGTCCTGTCACTACATGCTACGAGTTTATAACCCCCTGACTATTCATGGTCACAGAAACCTCATGGAATACCATAAAAACATTAAACTTTCAGGGATTTAGGAAACAAATGGGAGAGCAGAGGCACAGGCAAGTCACTCCACCATGTCCAAGTCCTTATTTCATGTTCCCAAATCGGTGCCATGATGCTTCTCTCCCCTTTTCTTCTTGAAAAGTGGTTTTTACCCCAATACCCCCGTTTTACAGGGGCCTAAATCCCGGGTTTTTTTGTATCCTGAACACCCCACAGTCATTCAGAAGAAGGAAAAACACCCGAGGAAAGAGTTGAACCAAACCTACTTATTTTTTCGGAGCTGCAGGACGACTTCCTGGCCGTTGGCTTTGATTCCATACTCCACCTTGTCAACATATTTGGTCTGTAAATAGATTTAAGTGTTAGACTGGGGACTGCTACAACTTATTGACCTGCCAGCCAGAGCTCTTTTCCTCCTCTTCCCACCAAAAACAAGTGTTCTGGCAGGAGCAGAATAAGCAGGAGGTCACTTCTGCCTCGTATTTTTTTCACTTAGAGGAAGAAATTTAACTTTGCAGATTCATTTCTACCATCCTAAGCATGTTTGGGGAAGTGCTGGAGTGGATGCTGAGGTTTAAACACTTCCATA